TTTGTTATCTTTTTTCTAGGCAAACATCATATAGTACCCGTATTTTTTATAATCTTTTTTCTGTGAAATATTTTAGATGTTAAGATTTTTTCTAAAACATTTTTAATGGCTCCAGAGAATCTAGCATTTGAGTGAAGTATAGTTTATTTAATCAGATTTCCATTAGACATTTAGATTATTTCCAGTGATTTTCTATTATAAATGACCCTTTGGTATACATCCTTGTGGGTAAATTTTTACTTGTTTTTATAATTATATCTGTAGGATAACTTCTTAGAAATGGAATGGCTAGGTCAAGGAATATGCACATTTTAAACGTTAAGTAAAATCATAGGAGATGTATTGCTGGATTGATTTCTGTGAAGGTGTTAGTTTACCACTGGTGTGAAAAAGTCTAGTTCGCTCTGCAGCTGATTTTGAGTTTGATTAGATTAAAAATATTTTTTTAGCTGCTTCGGGGTCTTGTTATTACACTAAATAATTGTCTAGAAATATATGTAGGATAATTATTATGTCAGTTTGGATCTGAAGCATATACAAAATTGTTCTTTTGGACAAGCATGACAGTCTTGACTTTGCTTTCCAGATTCCTCCTTCAATGCAGTCACCAACACAGCAGCAGGTACTTGCTAGACCTGGGGGTCCCTCTGTGCAGGTGCCACCTCCTTTTCTACTTCAAAACCAATATGAACCTGTTCAGCCTCACTGGTTTTACTGCAAGGAGGTAGAATGCAAACAACTGTGGCTGCCTTTCAGTGTGTTTGACTCTTTGAATCTTGAAGAAATCTATAATTCAGGTAAGTACTGGTCATGCATCACTCATATCTTATTTTAGGAAGAGAAGAAATGAAGAGTATTTATCCATGGCCTACTTTTTGTGAATGTCAAATCCTTTAAGCCTTGTAGACCCCACAGACTGTACCTTAAGACAGCGATACTAATATAAGTCCTGAGTTACCTGAGCAAGGTATTTAAAGAAATGTTGTAGCAATGTCCTTCTTTGTTTAAAGGTGTTTTAAATCAGAGAAGCTGAGTAGTTCATATAATCCAAATTTCAATTTTCCTGTTTCTTTTATTCATTTGTAGTTACAAGGGCATTTATAAAGCATTTTCTATGGAACTCTTCCGAGGTCAGACGGGATTTGGCGCGTTCAGGGCGGCATGGCCATAGACTCTATGGAACTCTTGATCCTGGAGATGCTCTGTGAAAAAAGTTTTGGAAGTGCTGCTTAGTATGTCCTTCTCTTGAGAGTGATGGTGTGCAGGAATGTGTTAAGGCTCTCAGAAGCCTTGCAGGATAGAAATCTATTTCTTTGTTTATCTTGATGTTATTTGATCATGCGACTTAAAAAAATCACCTGTTTTATCCTTTAGAAACATACTCCATGGAGCATTCCTGTGTATGGATGTTATTGCTTTGATTAAAAAAAAAAACCTACCAGTTATTTGAACTATTTTATGATCAGATGTTTAAAGTTTGCCCTGGCTGTTTCTTTTTTTTTTCAGACAGTCTCACTCTGTTGTCCTGGGTTGAGTGCAGTGGCATCATGGTAGCT